AAAAAAAAAAAAAAAAAAACACATATATATATATATATATATATATATATATATATATATATAAGCTTATGAAGTTGAAGTATTTGTGTGGAGTTGAACCAAGGAAGCATAAAACCCATCTTTGATATTAATCAAAGTATCATGCTTTCCTTTCTCCACTATCACTCCATTTTTCACCACGGCAATTATATCAGCGTTTTTTATCGTGCTTAATCTATGAGCCACTATTATGGTTGTTCGGTTCACCATCACTTTATCTAACGCATCTTGAACGACTCTTTCTGATTCAGCATCCAATGCACTCGTAGCCTCGTCCAACAGTAGGATCTTTGGGCTCTTCACGATCGCTCGAGCGATTGCTACTCGTTGCTTTTGCCCACCTGATAGCTGACCTCCCCTCTCTCCGACCACCGAGTCATAGCCCTACATTGTTAAGTGGTTTGAGTTAGGTAACTAAAAAAAATACATGATGAACAACAAAACATTTCATTTTCGGTAACGACTCAAGCCCACCACTAGCAGATATTGTCCTTTTTAGGGCTTTCGCTCCCCTCAAGGCTTTAAAACTCACAATCCACCCCCTTGGGGGCCCAACATTCTTACTGGCACATCGCGCTTCATGTCTACCCCCTTCGGGAAATAGCAAGAAGGTTGGCACATCGTCCGATATCTAGCTCTGATACCATTTGTAACGACCCAAGCCCACCGTTAGCAGATATTGTCCTCTTTGGACTTTCCCTTTCGGGCTCCTCTCAAGATTTTAAAACGCATCTGCTAGAGGAAGGTTTCCACACCCTTATAAATGGTGGTTTGTTCTCCTCCCCAACCAATATGGGACATCACATTTTCTCACCTGTTGCAAACCACTGATGAACTTGTGAGCGTTGGAAAGCTCAGATGCAGCAATTATCTCACTCTCGGTTGCATCTCCGCCCTTCCCGTACGCAATGTTAGCTCGAATCGTGTCGTTGAAGAGGACGGGCTCTTGACTCACTAACCCCATTTGTTGTCTCAACCATTTTAGTTGAAACTTGTGAATCTCTATTCCATCAAGAGTGATACTACCAGAATCAGGATCATAAAACCTTTGCAATAGTGAAATGACTGTGGATTTCCCACAGCCACTTTCTCCAACCAAAGCAACAGTCTGAAAGAAAGAATCACGAAAAATGAAAACTCGGGCGACGTTTTTCCAATGAATGTTCGAGTAATCGGTGAAAAAAATGATACCTTGCCCGATCGGATAGTCAAGCTGAGGTCTCGGAGAATTTGAACGTCAGGTCTAGAAGGATACTTGAAGCTTACATGTCGAAACTCGATCTCACCCTTTAAATTTTCCAAAGTTTCACCTATTTCGATACTTGGGTCGATTTCGGATTTTCGATCAATCATGGAAAATATGGAAGCCGTGGCGTCTTTTGCCTTTGAAGAGTCGGGTGCAAGCGAACTCGATTGAGAAATGGCAATAGAAGCCATGGTCAAAGCAAAGAAAACCTACCAAACGAAACACGGGTTGTAAGTATTACAAGAGCACGAGATGACCATAAGTTCGGTTCGACAGGTACTTACCCGAAAGATGTCGGAGACAGATGCTTTGCCGTCCTGAACGAAATGAGCACCGGCGTAGAATGTCGTTGCATAGACAGCAAACAACAAAAAGAATGATACTCCAAATCCTGTCCCACTGATCAAACCTTGTCTTATGCCTGATTTCAATGGCCCTTCACATTTCTTTTTGTATAGTTCCATCACCTTTTCTTCAGCACAAAATGATGCAACTGTTCTTATACTCCCCACCGCGTCGGTAGCGACTTGGCTAGCTTGTTCGTACATCAACTACAAAACGATAAACGGTGTCAACAGATACTCATACGAAGATCACATCAACTACAAAACGATAAACGATGTCAAAAGATACTCATACAAAGATCACATCAACTACAAAACGATAAACAATGTCAACGGATACTCATACGCAGATCTTGACCTCAAGAGATTTTACCTTCGAATCAGCACTAAATCCAGTCATAAACTTTGTTTGAACGAAGGCGTTGAGTCCGAGAAGGGGAAACATCGCTAGGACTATCAAAGCCAACTCCCAACTCGAAGCGAAAGCAATGACTAAACCAGCTGAAACAGATGCTAGATTCTCGACGAGTTGACTTAGTGCATCCCCGACTAGCGCACGTATGGTTGCAGCATTAGCCGAAAGGCGACCCCCGATCGAACCACTAGAGTTCTCGGTCCTATCGAACCAAGAAATCTCCATGTTAACAATCTTCTCAAAACAAAGCAATCTAATCCGTTGGATTAACTTGCAACCAGCCACAGAAAAGAAGTATGATTTAGCTGGAGCTGAAATGAATGATGCTACACCAAGCAACAACATTATCAATGCCCAAAATCTCGAATCCTTTTTGAGTTCATCGGGTGGTTTGTAAAACGTTCCGATTGCGTTGGCGAATAGTAAGCCGAAAATTGGAAGAACCATGCCGTTGACGACTGCAGCTACAGATCCAAGTAGAAGTATGGGAATTTCAGGCTTATTGAGATATGCAAGTCGACGGAGTGGGACGGGTGGAGATCGTTTGGTGGCGTCGAGAGATGTGTGTTCACCTTCCATGGGAACATCTGAAATAGGAACTCCTGTTGGTAAACCAAACGAAACGGAGAGAGAGCGGCGGCTGCTGCTGTTTCCTACTCCGGAAGATCCCCTGCTGATGGATCGTTGCATCGACGTTGTTTTGCTATATCTTCTAAACGATCCCGACGTACTTTCTTGTCTAGTTTTATCGATTCCAGCTTCTTCGGATTCTTGGCTGACTTCTTGCAGCTTAATAAGCTGTGAGTATGGACCTTCAGGATCCTTTAGTAGTTCCGTGTGAGAGCCTGATCATTCAAAGTCATTATCAGAAACAAAGCCCAAGCTCACCGCTAGTAAATATCGTCTTCTTTGGGCTTTCCCTTTCGGGTTTTCCCTCAAAGTTAGACGTGTCTATTAGGGAGAGGTTTTCACACCCTTATAAAGAATGTTTCGTTCTCATCCCCAACCAAAGTGGAATCTCACAATCCACACCCCTTTGGGGGCTCAGCGTCCTCGCTGACACTCGTTCATCTCTTCAATCGATGTGAAATTTCACAATCCACCCCCCCCCCCCCTTCGGGGCCCAGCG